GTAGCTGGTCAGGAGTCTGAGTTTTAAGGCTCCTGTCCACCCTAACCTTAGTATCCTCTCAGCCCACACACAGCCAAGCCAGTCCCCCGCCCCAGCCTGTGAAGCATCATGGGAACCAGCAAGAGGGCCCCAGGCGGCTACAAGTTTCACACACATGCTGTGCCATGGCTTGAGGCTGCCCTGGCACAGACTGATGCCCAGGGAAGGGGTTGTCTACGATGTCGAACCCAAGGCTTTGGACAGCAGGGGCAATGGTCTTCATACAAGTGCAGGATCCAGCCAGTGTAGCCTTTGGATAGCTCCACGGAGGGCTTAGTAACACTGCTGGCTGTGTGACAAAGTGCAAAGACAATCCAGCGTGGATGTGGATGGACGGACTGAGGGTGCCGTAAAGTGAGAAGGCCAGTTTCAACACAGGCCACAGGTGCAGTAACCCAAGAAGACAAGCGAGCCAACAACTTCCCAGTCCAGATCATGGTAAGGCCTGGTGCAGACAGACATGTGCCAGCTGCAGGGGCACTGGGCAATGCCGCAGGGATGGTGCGTGAGATCCAGGCTCAGCAACACAGAACTCTGAGAAAAGAAGTCATCCCAAAGAGCCACAACTGAGGCGAGAAGTGCTGAGACCCTTGGTGAAGGACAGGGTAGCAGAGGACCCGAGGATACAGCAGCCACAGTCCTAATAGTCCAAACGACCTTCATGATCCAGCAGACCAAGAGAGGCAAGACAGGGAGTCCTTCCAGAGACAACAATGTCCAAGCCAGATTTATGACACAAAAAATTCAGAGCAGCGGACATTTACAGAATGTCTAAGTGCTACAGACTCTTCAGTGTCCTTGATGGCACAGTTACAGAGTAGTCAGGCCTTGGGGCAGTCTTCATGGGGCTGGCACCATCTTTTTTTTTTTTTTTTTGTCTTTTTCCTTTTTGTCGGTACCGGGGATTGAACTCACGACTGCCTGCTTGCAAGGCAGGCGTTTATGCCGCTGAGCTAAACCTCCGGGGCTGGCACCATCTTTATGTCCATTTCATAGATGAACTGAGGCTTGGAGAGCTGAAGTCACTCACAAAAGGTCACATGGCTGCTGATCAGCAGAGTCAGAAGCCAGCACCCTGACTCAGGGGTCCAGGCTCTGAACCACACCATTCATGGCACTGCCAGCAAAGCACCATGACTTGGCAGGGACAGAGGGAGACTGAAGCCTCTTGCTGGAATGCTCTAGCTGTAGAGGCTGAGGTGCCCCAGAGCCATGGGGATCCAGGCAGGAAACATGACATCTGGATGTGATCCACTCATAAAGGGCCCATGGGCATCCCCCACCACCGCAGAGCCTAGCCCCACCTCCCCTCCTTGCAGCCCTCTGGGCTCCTTACCTTTGTGTGCATCCTGCTGTTCCACCTCTGCCTTGCTCCCTACTGATGCATCCAGCACTTCCTGCCACCCCCTGGCCCCCTGGCCCACAGTGCCTGGGAGAGGGTCAGGTGGGCGCTTGGGGGCTGGGCCACCCATGGCTCCCTGGATGTTGGGGCTGCCTGCTCTCTTGAGGGCCCGGAGCTGGGAAGCTGGGCTCTCCTCATTCCTGGGCCAGCCACTTGGGCACCCAAACTGCTCTGAGTGCCGCGTGAGCCATGTCTTCTTCAGTTTGGTGTGGTGGCTTGGGGGACAGGCCCTGCTGGGACCCACAGCCTTCCTCGTTTCCTCGCTGGACTCAGCAGGTCCGCTGGTAACTCTCTCCTGACCTTCGTGGCACTTCCCACAAGGACCAACATCCCCCTCTCGGGCAGGTGGGTAGGAAGAGCAACAGCCCCCAAGGGTGGTAGCAGGCCCAGGAGAGGGGCACCGTGGTGTGACGGGTGGCCCTAGCTGGTATCCCAGACTGCCACTGCCAGGCACAGTCCAGACGTTGCCAAGAGTATGGACCAAGCCAGGAGGACAGGTGGGCCAGGGATTCCTCGGAACAGCATCTGAATGTCCCAGGAAAAGGGAGCAAAGATTCTTTGGCCTTCCAGCTCCTGGATTTCCCTCCCTCTGGTGGAGTGAAGGCCCTTCTGCCTCCTGGGCTCGCTGCAGAAGCCCACCAGGGGCTGAGCCCAACAACCTAGGTTCCAATGCTGCCAAGGAGGGCTCCTTTGCCAGCCTGAGAGTGCTTGGATCCTTGTGGTAAAAATTCTAGGAGAGGAGAAAGGGTTAAGTGAGTGTTGGTTTGGTTCCCAGTGTTTAAAGACAGGCAGAACTGACATCAGCATTGTCATCAATAAAACACTGGTGCTGCAAAAACACCAAGGGAGGAACTCACAGACTGGGTGATAAATGGTATCACCCTGAGTACTCCAGCGGGCTCTCCACTGCTCCAAGTTCCTCCAGATCGCCCCCCCTCCCAACACCACCAACTTCACAATATAGTACTGGACTTCACAATACAGTAGCCAAGGGGCTAATGCCTGGCAAAGGACATTCCAGATGTATTTGGATTATACTGCTCTGACCCATACTGGCTTTGCCACATTTTGGTCTTAAACTTCTGATGCTCATGCCTCAGCCTCCCAGAGTGCTGAAATGATAGGAATGTGCCAGCATGCCTAACACCACATTAGTTCTTAAACATTTTAAAATCTCAAACTGGGCAGGGCATGCAGGTTACCAGTGGGGGAGGAGCCCAACACACAGGGCAGGAGGTCACCTGCACATCCCACTTCCAGACAGAGAGGTCTTGTTTGCCTGCTTGTCCTTTGCCCCAGGACAAGGCCACACATGCCAGGGACAGAGCTTATGAGGCCTTAGCCTGGGTGGATGGCGATGGCTGCAAAGGCTGAGGGCAGGGAATAGACAGAGGGATGGAGCTGCTCTGAGAGCCGACCGCTCAGGCTGACATAGGGCCTGGGACCACTATGAGATGCCTGTCTGAGTGTCAGGTAGGCACTGCCTTATCTTTTCACCAGAATGGAGGGGCAGACTGGTGCTGCCCTGGAAGCCTCCCTGAGGACCACTGAGCTACCTTGTATGGTTGGGCCCCAGATGCCCACTCCACTCTGGCACTCACCTTGCTGCCTAGGCTGAAGGCAGAGGGTACTTTGGGCTGGCCCCCAGGATACATCCAAGGGTGCGGAGCCAGTGGCCAGTCACATGGACGCTCTGGTGGCAGGCTGGACACTAGGTAGGGTGGCAAGCAGGTGGGCACCCAAATGGGAGCTCGTTCCAGGATTTTGGTTTCCAGTAGAAAAGGGCAGTGTAAGGGCCTAAAGGCTGCAGGGTCACTCTTGGGCTGCCCACCACTATGCTCAGGAATAAGGGGGCCATAGTGAGGTGGGCACACTGGCCCACAGAAGGCCAATGGGTGGGCTAGCATTGCCTCCTTCCAGCGCAGTCCATCCTTGCTGTCCAGCCAGCTGGCCTTCCTCTCCCCATTCTGGGGTCCCTCACCCTCCAGCAGCGGGAGCGTGTCCTTGGGGCCCTGGGGGAATCCAGGGGGAAGCCAGGAGTCTGGGGCGCTCAGGACGCCTCTCCAGAAGGGAGCAGGCTCTCCCAGGCACAGTGACCCATGACGTAGGCCATCTCTTGGTGGAGTGCCTGGCTCCTGTCCCACGATGCCATTCTCAAGGACTGTCTTCTCCCAGGCAGAGGTGTCCTTCAGGAAGCTGGGCGTACTTGCCATCCCTCTCTTGCCCTCATGGGGCTCTCCCAGGGGGATCCCTGAAGCATAACCACCAAAGCATGAGCTTCTCAGGCACATGACCCAAGCACCTTACTGCTGGCACAGAATGGGCACCACACTGGCAGCACCAAAGTTCAAACCAGTTGAGGCAAGTGCCAGTCCACAGAAAGGCACCAAGCAGACTACAATATGTGGCCAGAGGGATTTTGCCTGGGATCCCTTTAATTCTGGCCCCCACCTGAATTTAAGGTGTTGAATTCAGCAAAGTCTGCCATTTTAGGGGTGACATGTTCTAGCCTCATTGAGCCAGGAACCTGGTCATAAGCTGAGGAGGAGGTCAGGGAGCAAGAAAGAAGGTGGGAGGCCCTGACTCAGCCACCTGCTGGGTGACTTTGGGGAAGTCGTGTCACCCTCTGAGCCTCAGTGAACCCTCGTGTGAAGTGGGGCTTGGGTCTCAGAGGACAAACCACAGTCTGTGTCAGTGATGCTGCTTGCTTGCCTCAGCCCCCAGCCCTAGTCAGGCTTGCAGGGCTGGGAGTGCAGGCCAGGCAGGCTGGAGTCACTGTCACCAGGAGGGCACTCAGCCAGGGGTGCTGGCTGCTGTCTCCCCACACCTGGGCGGCCCTGCCTTTGCCTCTGCCTCTTCCCAGGCCCTAGTTTCTTGGCTTCTACAGTAGAACCGGAGAATGCTGCTGGGGGCTAGGATCTCTGGGCCTTCTGGAAGGAGGGGTGGCCAGCACATTAGAAGGCATTAACTAGGAGGCTTCCACAGGGATGGGTGAGAGCCCTAGCTCAGCCCCAGTGCCAAGGCGCGGAGGGTAACTGCAGCCTGGCAGGGGGGAGGGAAGGAGGCGGGGAAAGCGGGCTGGGCCCCAGACAGAGGCAAAGGAGGGAAAATTGAACGTGAATGCTTGCGAGGGACTGGGATGACAGGTGGCACCAGAGCGGCAGCGTTTTCTAAGCGCGGTCCCCTCGGCCACCCTACTAAGCCCTAGAAGAGTGACGCGGGAGCCGTGGGAGCGCGCTGCCGCTCTCACTCGCTCTGGCTCCTGGGGATTCTGGCTCAGGGGGATCACAACTTTTGGACGCTGGGACAAGCGGTCTGGTTTAGGAGACGCAGGGACCCACTCCCTCCAAAATCCCCCGGGAGCCCCCTCTAGGCGATTACCTGGGCTTCACGGGCCGGGCGCGGCGCTGGCGGCGGCAGTCGTGCTGGCCGGCGCCGGGCACCCGCTCCCCATGGGCCGGCTCGGGGCCTCCCGGCCGCGGGCGGACGAGGACGCGTGGTCGTCGCGTTCTTCGCTTAGCGCGCTCGCGCTCTCTTTCCCCCCGGGCGGCGGGGGCGCTCTAGGATCGCAGGTTGGAGGGGTCGGACTCCGGGATCTGCAGGATGCGGCACACGGCGCGAATCGGCCGCACCAGCTTCTGGGCCAAGGCCGTGGGTTGCGCCATGGGACGCCGAGACTCCGTGCTGCGCCTTGGGGAGGGCCGGACCGGGGCTAGGGAGCGGGTGCCCCCGGAGAGAAAGAGGGAGCCGGGCCGGGGGGAACGCGCGCCCCGGTCGGAGATGGCTGAGTGGGGGGAAAGGCCGGGGGGCCGGGGGAGGGGGTCGAGCCTGGAACGGGGGCCGATCCCGTGACTCGAGAGAGGCACCGGCTTGGGCGCAGCACCGCGAGGCGCGGCTAATGGAGGGAGAGCGCAGCGGAGAGCGCAGCAGGACCTCCGATCGCCATCGCCAGACGCGCAACTGAGAGTGGGGAAGCTGCTCCGCCGGTTTCCTCCTCCAGCACCCTGAGGGAAACAGGAGCCCGTGATTCGGCGGCCCCGCCTGGGCCTGCCCCCTCCTGAGCCCCGGGGGCTTCCGCCAACGCCCCGGCGATGCCACCGGCTGCGCAAGGGGAGAATGAGCCCTTTGTTCACCCCTCCTCCCCGCGGCACCCGGGCGCCTGCCGAGAGAGGCTCCCCCGGGGCAGTGTGCCAGCTTCCCAGCCGCCCCACCCTCCCGTGGGCCCGGCCCCGGAGCCTGGCAGGCGGGCAGCACCCCCACTATAGGTGCCAAGCCCGGGAACTGGAGCAAAGGACGGGAGGGGCCGGACCGGGCCACCGTGGGGCGGGGTGCCCCCTGGGGTGCCAGGGCGGGGAGGTTGGGAGGGGACAGTGCTAGAGCTGGCAGGGGCAGTCGGGTTCTCACGGGTCACTGATGGGCGCTGTGACCCATTCTGGCCCAGCCTTCCCCTACTGGACCACTCACTCCTGGTCCTCTCCAGAGGAGGTAGGTGAACATGCTTGGCTGGCTGCTGTCTGCCCTGCCTCCTCACCTGGCCAAGCTGTTATTCATGGTTCCCCACCCAAGCCCCCTCCTAGAACTGTCCTAAGGCCCAGTGGCACTGAGTGCTGTGCTTCTGAGTCTGGGATGGTCTGCCATCTGATCCACTCCCAGTCTATGGGCCTGGGTTTCCACCAAGTGTCCAGAGATGATGGGCTCAGAGGAGCTCCTCCCTGAGTTCCCGCCCTGAGGTTCTGACAGTTTCCCCATCCTCAGGGTCTTTTCTGTTCCTTGGCCAGGCGCTGGATTGGAGCCTATAGGAGTGGCCCTGGGAGGGAATTGAGAGTAGGAGAGGAAATGGGCACACAGGGCACCCTCCACCAGAGGAAGTATCCCAGCTCCTCTGCGGGGGTGGTTCCAGAGCGCAGACACAAACAGACAGATTCAAACACACACAGACAGATTCAGACACACACAGAAACCCACACGCCCAACGGGCACTTCCCATCCCCACAGGCACCCATCTCTTGTCCTTCCATGCTCCTGCCTCCCTGCCGAAAGAGAAGTGACCTGTGCCCACTTCCTCATCCCATGGAGGAGTTCTGGAGATTTCCAGCCCACTTCCAAGTCACAGGACCATCTCTAGAGAGGGGGGACTGGGGAACCCAGCTGGTCAGCCAGCTGGGCCGACCAGAGACTTCTGCCCAAGTGACCAAAACACAGAGAGCCTCTCATGTATAGCAGAGAAGAGGAAGGGTCCTCTTGAACCCTGAGGACAGATGTCAACAGGATTTGCACCAGGCACTACTTGAGTCGTGTTGGCACAGATCTCCCCAGCCCCTGGCCTCCCCAAGTCCAGTTCTGTGGCAGGACAGGCTGGTAGGGGTTGTTTACATGGCTGAGCTATCCACACTCCCTTCCTTCCCCAGCTCCCCCGGGGATGGCTGGACCTGTGAGAGCCAGGGGAGAGAACTTCAGAGGGTCCAATAGGGCCCGGAGGCCCCAAGCCCCGAAACTCTCTCCAGGGCAAGATGGTGAGCCGTGGTCCCTGGGCTCTGGCCTGTCTTCTCAGCAGCCTAGGTTTGGGGGAAGAGTCCAGGGCAGAGTCCTGTGACTTGGGGCCTGGAAGAGGCTAGAATGGGAACCTGGGCTGTCTAGGCCTGAGGGCCTGTTGCTGTCATTCTGAGGAGACAGGACTGGCCCCAGGAGAATGAAGCAGACCCCCCTTTGCCCACAGTCGGGGTGTCAGCCTTGTCAAGGCACAGTCCGTGGTCTGGACCAGGGCTGTCAGGACAGGCTCCTGGAATGTCCAGGGGCCATTAGGAGCTGAGATGACAGGGACCCTTTTCGACCCCCACGCTGATCCCCATCCTCAGAGCCCATGCCACAGGCCAGAGCCCTGGCTGCCGACTGTTCTGTGCCTGAGGATGGAGCAGAGCTGAGGATACACGTCAGACACAAACACAAAAGGAAAGCCACCCAGCGTGGGGACGCAAAGCCGGCCCAGGGTCCATGGCAAGCTGGTGGACAACCCCGAACATGTGTGGGCCCAGCCTCAGCGGTGCCGACCCCTGGCGCACTCACACACACACACACACACTCACACTGACAGGCACAGCAGCACTGACAGCCGGCTGCCCTCTCCCGGACCCAGAGCCCCTTACCTGGGCAAGCACAGTGCCCCTCGGTGGAGCAGCCCCCTGCCCAGGGTGGGCAGCAGGCAGGGCGGGGGAAGGAGCCCCGGAGAGTCAGGCCAAGCTGCCACTAATCCGGGCGGGGAGAGGGGGGGCACCCACGTCAGAGCGGGGACTGCCGGGTGGAGGGCATCTGAGGACATCCCCTCCCACACACGCGGCCGTCTGGGCACCTAGCCCTGCTTCCCAGCCCCTCCATCCTCCAGACAGCTGAGGCGGCCTACCCCCCCACCCTGTGGCAGCGCCTGGGAGGGGGACATGGGGGAGGGGGAATACCAGGAAAATTCTCCTAGGACCTGAGGGGAGGGGAAGGGGAAGGGAAGTGTGGAGATGCTTCTGAGGCCAGGAGGAAGCTTGGCGGCAGATGCCAACCTCCCCTCTCGCCCACCCACCCACATCCTTGACCTAATTCCTCTTCTGGAACCCTCCTTCCCCCAACCTCCCCTCCTCCAGCCTAACCTCTATCTGCCCCAGACTCAGGACCTGGTGCTGAGCATGGCCCACTCTGGCCCCCAGTACTCTCCCAGCAGCAGACAGCATCTTCTGGCCCCAGGTTTGCCCTCTTACTCCCTGTCTATTGGGACCTCTATTTGCTGATGCTAGGTGGGGCACAGGGAAAAGAGCCTGGGTACTTTCCCCCTAAACCCCGTCAAGCTGGGGATGAAGAGTGCCCACCAGGCCTCCCCAGTTTAACTTGAACCAGGGCAGCATTGATCTAGATGCTCGTGATGCTGCCGATGAGCACGACAGCTAAAAATACAGGCATGGGCCAGTGCATGCCATGACGTGGATGCCAGGGACAGGGAGGGGACTAGGACATCGAGGGGCTACAGGGGACAGCACTGGGGATAAAGGGCAGGGAGTTAGAGCAGCCCTCTGGAAGGGCCAGAGGATGGAGGAAGGGAGGTGGGGCAAAGAGAAGAAGGAAGGATGAGAAAGGGTGGGCCTGTGCAAGTAAGGAGAGGAAACGGAAGTGGAGGAGCCCTCAAAGGAGATCAGGTGGGTGGGGGAGCCTGAGGAGGGGGCTGGAACCAGGACACAGCAGAGACAAGAGACAGCACAGCCCCTGAGGGGCTTCAGGTCTCTTTCCAGCCCTGATCTTGCCTGGGGAGACTGGCACAGGACTGGTCAATAGGTCAGGCACCATGGGCAGGTGGAGCCCAGCTCAGCCTTCCTCCAGAGGCCCGGGATCTGAAGGGTGGGCCAGGGAGCCCATCCAGAGGGTGGACCTGCTGGGCTTAGGGTGGTTCACAGAGGGGCAGGCCCAGCCAACACCCAGTGCCCTGAGCCTCGGGATCATGTGTGTACTTGGCCAGAACTGCCCTAGACTTGGACTTCTGCTCAATCCTTCTCTGGCCTAAGGATGTCTTGGAACTTGGACAACTGCAGTCAGCCACTCACCAGCTTGCATTAAGGAGACACTGGTGACTTCAAGGCTTTGTGGTAAGCCGAGGTGATGCAGGGCACAGAGACCAAAGCACAGGGCCATCTCTTCCCTAGCCCTGGAAGAGCTCACAGTTGGGCTCAGTGCCTTTGTTCCTCTGGCGTCAAAGGTGTCAGGCCCTTGATGGGGACACAGAGCTGATTGATAGGGAGGTAGACACATTAACAAACAATAACCAGGTGCTTCTGATCGTACTCTGGGGAAGTTGGGGCTTCATGGTGATTCTCGAACTTAGGAGTGGAGAACAAGTAAAACTTTGTTGAATCACACACTTAACAAAAATATTTTGCTTCCTTTAAGCCACTTGTTCTGGGCTAGGGTACAACAGTAAGATACACCTGTCTTTAGGAAGTGACAACACAGTGGGGAAGAAAATATGATTACTCCAGGCAAAAAACATAAGAGTAGGGGCGATGAGAACTGCAGAAGGGCAAATGACAAGATGCAGGGTACCCCATGGAGGGCCTCTAGGAGTTGGGGGCGCCTGTGTGGATTTGAAGTATACAGGAAGAGGACTGGGACCTGCTCATCTCACAGATGAAGAATACGGAGCTTTGCCAACTCCACCAACACACCCGAGGGACCTGCCCACTCTAAGGCCCCATCCCAGGACAGAGCACAAGCAGAGCCCCTACCTGATGTGCTGGTTGGCAAAATTCAAGGAAATCATCGCTATGAAATGCCTAGCGCAAGGTCAGGCATGCACCAAACATTTCACACGTTAGTCTCCTTCTCCTTGCCTTGAAGGCAAGGAACAGCTCATTTACCTGGGTACTGTTTGGTGATTAAGTACATTGACTCTGGAGCCAGACTGCTTGGTTCAAAGCCCAATTCTGCCACCTATGAGCCATGTGACTTTGGGCAAATCACTTGCCCTCTCTGTGCCTGTTTTCCAGTTTGTGAAATAAATGAAGATTATAATAATCATACCTACATCCTGAGATTGTGGAGAGGATTACATTCATGTATATCCAGGGCTCAGAGCAGTATTTGCCAACCACTGCTACACTTCACACCTTGTCTCTGATACCTGTAGATGCTCACTATGGATTTTAATGAAGAAGAAAACTAGACCATAATGCGGGGGGTGTCACATAGGAAGCCACTGGGCACCAATACACGAGGCAATAATTCACCCCGGCAGATTAAGTACCTTCCCCCCAATAAAACCCAGATAATCCCCACACCAAGAGTTAATCCTTGCTCTCAGGCCCCTCGGTGGTATCAGTCTGTTTCCCTTCCTGTCACCCACCTCTCTGCATACTTCATAGCAGGGAGAGCAGATGTGAGGGTGGGAGGGGGAAGCAGCCCCAGATGCAGTCGCAGTGGCGACACCAGCATCCGTGGCTGCAAAGGGTTGATCAGAGGAGATGACTGGAGTAGAGCCAGCCCAGGCAAAGTGTTTGGATCCCTGGAGAGGAGGGGAGGCCCAGTGGGTGGGGGAGGCCTTGGACCAGTGGCCACAGGCAGCAGGGAGGGCCCTCTGAGGCCCTGCCTGAGTTCTGCATCGTCCCTAGGGCCAGCAGCCAGCAGCCAGGCCCAGGCAGGGCGAGGCACTGGCCAGACTCCGAGCCCCACCCTCCTTGACCTGGGAGCTGGGGGCAGCCTAGATACTGGCTGCTGCTGCCCCCACGTGGGCATTGCTCAGAGCACAAGCCACCATGGCTGGTACCTGAGTATCTGCAGAACTCAAATGCCCAGAAGTCCCAGACCACTCCCCCAGGCTCAGGGAGGACCAAGGCTCCCTCCTAACTGACAGCTTCTCAGACTGTGACCCTCTTCTGGACTGGCCCCTCACTCTCCTGTCTGTGTCCTCAGAGTTCCCCTAGAGTTTGAAGAGGACAGCACTGGCTGCTTTGCAGGATCTCTCAACAGCCATCTCCCTGAAAACCCCACTCCCCTGCAGTCTATCCTGCCCTGTGCACTGGCCTGTGGGGGGCTTTCAGTCTGCAGCATGTGATGTGAGGAGTGGAAAGACACATCAGGGGCAGCAGAATATCTTTATGTATTTATTTATCAAAATGTTCACAAGCCTGACTTCATTCACCAACACAAAACACACAACTGCGACACGCACATTGACCTTGGAAAAGGCTGTCAAGTACTTAGAAGGACAAGAAGGAATCATTTCATCAGCAAGGTTTTTGAGGGGCTCTAGTCCCACACCTGGGAAGGTGGAAGGTTAAGAAAGGCAATAAATAGGACCATGGGTCCAAAGTCTTTGGTACATTGCGGGTTCATCCCAGTGGCTGCCCTGAAGGAATCAGGCGGCTGGTGCAGGCAGGCCGGATGTGCAGCGGAGGTCCCTGCAGACTGCTTCCGGCACCCTTCAGGGCATGAGGTAAGACTGGGCCAGACTGTGCAGGCCTTAGCTGTCCATGTCAGAGGGCACGGTCTTTTTCCGTGTCCGGACCTTTAGGGAGCGGGAGGTGCCCTGAAAGGAAACAGGAACACTGTGAGTGGTGTGGGCTGAGGTGCCAGGACGAGCAGCCTCCCTCACACCGTCCTTGCCACTGTCACTGACCTCCCGGACTGGCGGCTTCCTCTTGACCACACGAAGGCTCTGGCTCCGGTTCAATGGCTTTTCTCGGGGTCGCGTAGGTGGCTGGGGGACTACCTCGGTATCCGACCAGCACCCATCCTCTGTGTCACTGTCCTGCAGGCCCCCTGCCTGATACCCTGGAGAGAGGCAAAGCCAAACATTTATTTACAGAAACTCAAGGCCCAGACCCACGCCCCGCCTTCCACTAGCCCCTCCCAGGACAATTGTGGGTCCCTCAGCCACTCACTGATGGGTGGTCTTCGGCGGGGCACCTCATCCTCTGGATAGAGGGGGTCCTGGTACGTGGGGGCAGAGGTGTCAGGGATGGAGCGCAGATCTTGCATGGAGAAGCTCCGCAGCCTGCCAGCCAGTGCATCCTGACTCTGTGGAGTGGGGGTGGGGGGCACTGTTTCACTTGGGAGGAGGGGGCTCCTGCAGATCAGGTTTCATCGAGGTAAGCTGCCAGGGAAATCCAGCCAACCCGCAGCTAATCACTGTAGCACAGGACTCAAACCTGAGAGTGATTTAGCTACCTGCTAGAGTTGTAGGAAACTGTGTCCATAAGAGAAAGAACAGGAGTCAGCAGCTACTCCCACTGCTGTCAGCCAAGGTCTCGGCCTGCCCCTGCCCCCAGCCCTGTTAGCTCCCTGGACAGCCCAAAGGCCAAGTGGGGTGGGGCTGCAGAGGGCTGGCCCCAGAGCACCTTGGTGGCGGCCTGCACAGCAGCAGATGCAGCCATGTTGAGGCTCCGCTTCCCAAAGGTGAGCATCGTCTCATAGCTGCGCTCCTTGGCCTGTACTAAGTATGCGTCGATCTCCTGTGGATGCAGGGGAGAACTCAGGCAGACAGCAGGAGCCCCACCTCCTCTGCAGACCCCGGAAAGGCACTGCTAGTCACCCCTCCCTGCCCACCATTAGCCCAGGCCCAGGTGTCATGGGTACAACCAGGAACACACACCAAGAGCAGGGTGCCGCACCCACTGGCCCACCCTGCACCTCAGTGGGCAGCCACATCTCTCGCTCCATCCCCAAACCAACTTCCAGGAGGCATCTCACACCCCCAGAAGATCATTCACAGGCACCCCTGTTTGACCATCCTGGCCAGGTCCCACAGGTAAACAGCAGTGGGCCTGGGATTAGAACCCAGTGTGCCCACATCCTGAACCTTGAGTCCAGGCAGCTCTCCCGCTCCTTTCTAGGTCTCCCTCTCTGCCTCCCTGTGGGGTACCTTCTCATGGCGGGACAGGGATGGGTGAACAAACTTCCGGTACAGCAAGCTGGCCCCCTTTGTATAGGGTGAGAGTAGCCACAGCACAAAGGCCATCTTGATCTCATAGTAGAAAGGGAACCTGTTGGTACACAGGGAGCCATGTTAGCTCAGGAGCCTGGCTGAGGATGGGCAGCTCCCATCCCACAGCCTGCCAACCCCCATGCTCAGACCAGGAGACAAAGACGTCTGTGAAGGTCTCTGCCGCCATGAAGATTGCAAAGACGATCCAGTACATCATCCAGCGGACCTGTGGGGCACAGAGCACAGAGGTCAGCTTCGTACCCTCCAGGGCCAACGCCTGCCGCTGACTGGCCAGGCCCAGACATTCCAGAGAGCCTGTCCTGCTGCATTGCTGCATTTGCCCATGTTGGGCCAGACGGATACCTCTGGGAACTTGCCACTCATTCCTGTGCCCACTCTGGTAAGCTACACCCACAAGGCCTTCCACAGGCACTCCAGTGGCCTGCCCTCCTCCCACACTTCCTGAATAGGGCCTGCTCTCTCCTTTGCTGGCACTCAGAATACGCCCCACTGCCCAGAGGCCCCCTGTTCTACTACCCCCTCCATGCCCTTCAAGACTGCCTACCCTCTCGCACTCACATATTCACGAATGTTCTTGGCCTTGACAGCCTTGTAGGAAGCATAAGCTGGATATAGCATTCCAAATACCAGCCTGGAAGAGCAGACACAGGGAGTGTAAAGGCGCAATGCATTACTCTCACCCCGCCAGGGGGCCACCCCTCTGCCACCACTGGGGTTCAAGGTGGCAGTGCCTGCCCTGTTTTTCCCGCTTGGCTTGCACAACCCGTGGTGCCTGAGTCAATGCCCTGGAGGCCACCTCCCCACCCTGGTGTTTACAAACATCCCCAAGCCTGCCCAGGCCTGCACCCGTGGCCCAGGGGTACAATGGTGGTGCCAGAGCACAGCTGCACAGCTACTCAAGAGGTGGGTGACATGCAATCAGGCCCAGGGCCACCAGACCTGGCACTGCCAGGCTACAGACTGGGAGGTTTGTGCCAGGTGCTGGAGTACTTAGAGGTGAGGGGTAGGTCGGAGTGACAAGACTGTGGCAAGGGTGGTGAGTCAGGTGACTGCCCAGGTGGGAAGCAGGCACTGGCCTCTGGCCACAAAGTGCCCAGTGTATCCAATTTTGCTTGGCTGTGGGCTGCCTGTGGCCCCGAGCCCCGCATGGCTATATGCAGGATGCGAGTGTGTCTCCGCGTGAGAAAGGTCACTATCATTAACCAGGCTGTGGAGGCGAGGGTGAGCGGGGTGGGCGGAGTCCCACGCAGGCCCCCAGGTCCGTTACCCCGGGCCGTGAGTGCTGGGGGGGGGGGGCCAAGGAAGTTCAGAAAGTCCCCCTTCCCCCTAGACGTCCCCAGCCTCCACCCCAGAGGCAGGTTGACACAGGTGCGGGGTAGAAGGGATCTGAACGTGTCTGTACTCACACCACTAGGCGACAGATCATCCAGGACACCATCCTGACGGCCTTGGGGGTGAAAGGAGAGCCCAAGATCCCCCAAAGAACGAGTGCCGGGGGGCGGGGGGTCCCCGGAGGACGAGAAGCGAGGGTTGGTGCGACCGTTCCCAGAAGAAGGCTGAGCCCAAGCCCACCGACTCTGATCCCGCAGCACGGGGTCCTGGTGAACCCGGACGCCCCGGCCCAGCCGCAGGAGGCGGACTCGGGAGCGGCTCCGGCGGACGCGCGGCTCGGTAGTTGCAGCAGCGGCCCACACTTCCTGCTGCAGAAAACCGGGCGTTGAGTGGTTCCTGACCGGGGTGTAGGTCGCGGCTTTCGCTCCAGAGGGTCGCCGCAGTCCTAGCGCAACCGGCCACCGGCACGGGCCTCCGGGGCGGAGTTTACAACTCACTTGAAAGTTGCACGGAACCGGGTCCTGCCCAACCCCGGCGCTCCGGGGAGATGCGCAGGCGCAGTGCGGTCCCAAGAGGGGAGGAGCGAGGTCGAGGAGGCAAGGAATCGGCAGCTTAAAGGGGCGACGCGCGCGCCTCCCGTCTCTAGTCGGAAAGATTAGGGGATGGGAGGAGGCAACAGAAAGGGGGACAAGCACAAAAAAAATCTGGGCCCCCGGATTCTCGCGGCTCTTTACAGGCTTCTCCCAGTGCCCTTCTTTGTGGCCTGATTTGTCTCTCTTTGTCAGATTGGATAGAAATGAATGGGGTCAGCCCTCGAGGCTCAGACGCAATCTGGAAGCAGGCCTGGCCAAGTCCATGCGAATTCCATCCATGCAAGTTTCAGTCCTGTACCACTGGTTTGCAGAGGTCACTAAGCACCTAAAGAGGCCCAGCTAACCAAGAAGGAAAGGAGGGAGGAGTGGGAAGTGGAGTCCTGTCCTCAACAGTAAGCCTCAGGGATACACTTCTTCCTGGACATTTCCCCAAGTGCACATACCTAAGCTGACCGTGAGGACTTGAGAGATCCTGGGTGGCGCAAACAGCTCTCACCCTGCCTTCTTCACTAGAAGTTTGAAATTCTATCGATGGGCCTGGTAACACACGCCAGTAATCCCAGCACTCTGGGAGACTGAGGCAGAAGGAAGCAAATTTTGAACTCAGCCTGGGCAATTTAGTTTTAAAACTTAAATAGGCAGGGGCTGCAGCTCAGTGTAAAGGCCCCCAATTCAATTCCCAGTGTGTGTGTGTGTGTGGGGGGGTGTCTCTGGGAACTTCGTAGCACCAATAATTGTGATTTTGCACTGTTTGTGTGCAGGGTCTTAATTTTTGCATAGCTTCTTTTGTTTTTATCACGCAGGACACACACTCAGCGAAGTAACTTGCCTAAGGTCACCCGGAGGTGGTTAGGGTATTAAATGTGTGGCATGATCCCACATTCAGGGTGATTTTTGCAGAATCAGCAAGGCCAGCTGTGAGCTGTAGAAGGGGACCATGGAACCGGAGAAGTTGCTTTGGGAGAGAGGAAGGCAGAAGACTCTAAAAACAAAGCAGGAAAAAATAAATAAAGTGAAGGCCAGCTTAGCTGCCTCTACCACTTCCCGCATGGGCTTTCATTCTGTGAGAGTCTTTTGCTACTGCCTCAGTTGTTTGCTCTGAAAACAGGGAGAAGTGACCCTCTTTGCTGCAGTGGGGGAGGGTGAGAGCTGCCTGGGGGCTGCAGAGGCGGGTGCTCAGGTGGTTTCTGCTCTTTATTAGAGCCACAGTTCACACCCACCACCTAGGAAATGGATGGGCTAGCTAATGATCGGAGCCAGGAAAGAAGGCTTTTGGGGGTTAAATCAACACACAGTGATTACATGGTCTTAATTATTATCATCAATTTTATTGGTGGGTGTGGGAGTCTGTGTTGAAACCAGCCCACAGGAGAAACTCTCCCAAGGCCTTGGGTTTCCTTCACCCTACCAGGACACCCCCACCCCCAGCCCCATGCTGTGTTGCAGGAACAAGATATACCAGGAAGGTCCTAGCTACCACCTATCTCGAGGTATTGACTTGGTTCTTCAGGAAGTCCCGGGAAGAAGAAGTATGTAATTGATGGAATGAGGAGGTGCTAACTCAAGAAGAATCAGGGGCTGGGTTGGGGGAGGGACGTCCATTACTCCGGGGACGTACAGGAGCCTTGATCCTTTGCACATCATCCTCACTGGACTGGACTGGGCTGCCTGCTGGAGCTTGGGCCCAATCTCAGCATCAGAAGCCACCCTGTGTCCCCATTTGCTGGGAAGTCCTCTCTGGTACCTACTGTAAGCCCACCTAGCTGGGATGGCCTCTTGCCTGGAGACTCCTGATCCCAGTGCCTGTGCTTGGGGCATCTAAAGGACAGGAAGTCAGAAGTCTGCCACTGAGAGCAGGGCTCTGAGCCGAGGGCTGTGAGGCTGGCAGCCGAGGAGTGTCACTCGACTTGGCTTTGGCAGAATGAGAGGACTCTGGCTCTTGCGGCCTTTGGTCCTGAGCTGTTGACACAGTCACCCAGTTACACTGGGTTGCTAAGCAGCTCTCTGGACACATGGATGAGTCCCAGGGCAGGTGACCAGGCAGCCACACAGCAGAAGGCTGGGCATTCAGGGTGCAGTGGAGATGTCATCTCTCACTGGTGGAGAGCTGCCTGGATGGAGCAGCTGTAGGAGAAATGTTTACCTTCTGACTGGGCAACAGAACAAAACACCAGTGAGTTTCAGAGGCTCAATCTGCTTTCCCTAACAACGTCTCCTTTTTGTTGTTGTTGTTTGCTTTCTTCTGAGACAAGGGCTTGCTGTGTACTTGAGGCTGGCCTTGAGCTCACTCTATTGCCCAGGCTGGCCTCAGTGCCGAGAAGTCACTTATACCCACTTCTGAGTGCTGAGATTGCAGGCACGCACTGCCATTGCTGACTTCATTTCCCTTTGAAACCTCAGGTCAGGCACTTCCAGGACGATAAAGTTGGTTCCCTGAGGGCACCTGCTCAGCCAGGAGCACAAGAATGTGGCTCCAGGAGGTGAAAACCCATACTAGTCACATACAGTGGTCAGAGCAATGTAACTGGCCACAGATAAGATGTAAAGTACAGGGTCTCTAGGACTAGATGAGTGAGGAATCCTAACCCAGGGACAGTAGACCTTCCTAAGGTCACCTCTCTCCAAGCCACCTGTGTCTCATGTGCTCCTGCAGGCCAGTGCAGCTCCTAATTAGGCACCAGTCCATCAAAGGGCTTTGTATGTGTTAGTATACCTTAAAGCATGGAAATCTCATGTCTGATTATACCCACTTCATAGATGAGCAAACCAAGACATACACAGGTAAAGTAATGCCTTCACCCTTAGTAAGCTGGTCCAATTGGGATTCCGAAAAAGTAGGTTTCCGTTTTCTGCTTTGTAGAAGGGAGGTCAGTTGACTTGCTTGAAATCTCACATGGAGCAAAAGGACAGAGCCCAAACGCACACGTGTGCAGTGCAGACAGAGCCCAGTGTTCCACTGCACAGCAGGCCACAGCCATGTCCCCCTGCTGTCTGAGAGCTCTGGGGTGCCCAGACCCTTCCCACCCCTCATGCCTACCAGTGCTCCCTGAAGGAGAGCATGAAGGGTGACAGATGACATGCGTGTGACACATGGGTGAGAGCTGAAAGGGTCCCTGGAGCCAATGAGGACCTGGAAAAGGGAGGTGACCTGTCTAGAGTCACACGGCCCAGAATCCTCTGCCTGAGGATGTCATTTCTCATTTCCTGTCCTTGAGCCACACAGGGAACAGTTAGCTTTACTTTATTCTGTCCCATGGGTGGGGAGGGGTGACAAGGAGAACAGGGGTCCCACAGGCCCACACTCCCACTAAGACACATTGCTGTGTGTATTCCTGAGACCCCAGTTCTTCCCAGGGAGCCTTGACACTGCCTCTCTGCCTCTTCTTGCTCCCTGATTGTCTCGGGATCTCTCAACTCCATCCATGACATGGGGAAGGACACTGACCACCTGCCCAGGACCTAAAGTGGACAGAAAACTGGGGGCTCCTTGCCCAGTGAACAGGGAGCCAAGGCACTTTCCTGAGAAGGGGAGGGCATGGTAGAAAGGGCCGTCAGGAAGATTACTGTGGAAAGTGGCCTGGCAGAGAGGTGTGCAAGGGACCAGAGGCCAGATTTGGACAAAGCAGGAAAAGGGACAAAATAAACATGCCCACCTGAAAAACCATGGGGACAAAGAATGGCAAGAAGACTTGGTGGCTAATTAAATACGGAGACAAAGAAGTTAGGGAGGACTCCATGGTGCCTTATCTAAGGTGGAGGGTGGTGGTGATGGGGGACGTCTGCCATCCAGAGAAGCTAGGGATGGACTAGGGAGGGACAGATGCAAGCCTTAGAGGGTCCCCACCCCATAAGCTCCAGGAAGGAACACAAACCCAAGTGGAGGAGACTGGTCACACTGGCCCAGAACTGAGTTTTATCACTAGGAACTCCTGAGCCTGGCACCCTGAGGACCTGGGGGCATCCAGTCCTCAGGGAAGGAAGTGGAGGAAGAGGGTCTGCAGGTGGATGCTGGCCTCTGGGTACAACAGGGACAATAGCACAGCCCTAATCCTGTTCCTTGTGAAACACCTGGATGACACTTGAGAGCTGGAGGGGTGGAGCTTTTTATTTGAAGCAAGTGAATCAAAGCATTGCCCCTAAGCCAGGGCATCCTGCCCCAAGGAGTCCCCACCACCTGAGCCCTGCCTTATCTCCACCGGCCTCCTTGACCTCTGGGAACAGGTCCTCCCAGTGTCCAGCAGAGGGCAGCAGAAGCCCGGCTCCTGGCGCACCCCTAGCCCTTTCCTGCCCACAGTTCAGCCCCCACCGAAGAACAGTGTCCATGGGGTGGGACCCTGGGCAGTGGAGGGGTGCCAGGGCCCCAAAGGGTGCAACCCAAACTCCACTCTTGGCATCCACAGAGTGGGTCCGGGGCTCACAGGCTCCCTGGTTCACCCAGCTCCTGTGCCCACCAAGGACAATCATTGAGCTGGGGAGAACCAGGGGATGGTCCAGCCCTGAGGAAGCCACAGCTATAGAAAGAAAGGCTTTCATCTGGGTGGCCTTCTGTCCCCAAATGGGGACAGGGTGACAGAAGGGAACTTCAGCGAGAAAGAACCCAGGGGCTGCTGCTGTTATTGCTTTGGGACAGAGGAGCAAGCCAGCTCTCCCAGGCTCCCCAGTGTAATTGCAATTGTCTTTTCAGCCGTGGGGGGCGCATACTGTGGGGAGCAAAGGAGATAAGGTGCTGTGGGTCCCTCCAGAAAGAGCAGCATCAAGGTGACAACAGCGGGGAGCCCTTCCGGGCAGTGCTGTCTATATGTGCCCCGCGGGATGTGTTTACCTATGGAAGTGTGACTGTGGGTAGGTGTGTGCGAGTAAGAGCTGGAGTGTGTCTGTCAGCCTCCACAGGTGTACAAACAAAGGGCACAGCAAGAGTGGGTATGCTTGGGAGCTGACGGCTGTGGCTGAGGTTGCAGCATGGAGACAGGTACACCTGGAATGTCCACAGCAAAGGCCATAAGGTGGGAAGGCTAGACTGGAGAGCAAGAGGCTGCAGCTCATGCCCGTCTCCACGCCTAAGCCATCACTCCTAATCTTGAGCACGGGAGCAAAGCCCTGGGGACCTACAGATATGGGGGTGGGGGATGGGTGCACATAAAAAGGAGGGCCAGGACACCTGGGTGCCTGGTAATGTATAGGAGTTCATGCTGATTACAGAGACAAAGAATGGCTCCCCCGAGCCAGTCTATGATGAGTGCCCAGGCTCACCCATGTGTGTGTGTGTGTGTGTGTGTATTGGCGCATATGCAGGTTGGCCAGTGTGACTTCACACAGGCACACGTGCTGCTCAGAGGCCTCCACCCAGCCTCCAGTGCTACCCTGAGGAGCCCAGAGGCCTCGACACCCCTCTAGGCACTGAGATCCACCACGACATGTCGGTATACCAATGTTTGTCCCTTAAAGCTGGGGGCCAGGAGCAGCTGGGCATCCCCAGCGGGCATGTAGCAGAAGGCCCGGGGGGCCTGCACTGCCAGCTCCTGGAACCGCACAAACTTCTGTCGTCCTTCGTCCCACTGGTAGATCTGGGTGAAGGAGAAGTCACTGCCCAGTGCCAGGTAGCGGCGGCCACCCACCAGGAAAGGCTGCAGGGCCAGGGAGCCCCGGGAGGGCAGGGCCTGTACCTCAGAAAAGCGGGTGCCCTCCCAGCGCAGGATCTTGGAGTCACCGATGTAGCGGCTGAGACACAGGTAGCTGTCACGGCCAGCTCGAAAGTGTTTCACGGCCTGGGCGTCAGGAACTTGAGTCACCTCTCCCTGGGCCACAAACTGCTTCTGGGTACGACTCCATTGATAGATGACCGGTGCCTGAGAGCTGCTAGACACAATCAACCTTGGCTTACCCTCGCCATCCACAAACTCGAGGTCGGTGTCACGGTGCCAGGCGTGCAGGGCCTGGTGGGAGTAGAAGCCATTTTGGTGCCAACGGTAGAGGCTGGTGGCGCCCGCCTTGGAGCTGTCAGCCACGGCAAAGTACCAGTCACCATCAATGCGGAAGGCCTCCAGGTCGTTGGGCTTCCGCACGCGCTGAGGGTCAATGTCCTGCAGCTTGGTAAAGCGTGTGGTATTGGGATCCCAGTGGTAAATGTAAGAGCCACCAAACAGTTGGGCCACTACCACGTACAGCTGGCTGTCCACCACCATTGGCTTGCAGTGCACGGCCGAGGGTGCTGCCAGGAGAGAATGCAGTGTGGAGAGGGCATGCAGCTGTCACCCCACCCCTCCCATCAGAGGAGGAAATCAGTCCCTCCAGCTGTGGGCTGAGATTGCTACAGAACCCACCTTCACCTAAACCCCTAAAACCTACTGTTCAATCATTTCTTTTCTTGTTTTCTCCTTTCTTTCTTTCTTTTTTTTTGGGGGGGGGCACTGGGAATTGAACTTAGGACCTTGCACTTGCCAAGTAGATGCTGTGCCACTGAGCTATATCCCCAGCCCATGCCCTCATTTCTCACTGCTTTCCAAGAAATCATCAATTATTACATCACCCTCACTCTGCCCTGTGGTCCAGGGTTCCAACACAGGCTGACTTCAACAACAAAACAGGTGTCCCTAAACACTGACCGGTGCTGACCATGTGTCAGTCGCTGTGTTTTTTGTCAGTTGCTGTGTTTTTACTGCGTGAAGTCGCTATGCTAAGTGTAGACATGGGACTTCCATTAATTGTGCCCAAAAGCACAGGATTATTTTGTCTTCTTCACACAGAAAGAAACTGGAGCTTAGAGAGAGTGATTTCCCCAAGCCGCTGCAGTGGCTTTTGGCCAGGTGGGGAGTGGGTGGGGTGGTCTCTCCATTGCTCACCAACCCTACTGCATCCCAATCCTGGGAATCCTCCCTTTCCAGTTTCCAGAAGAGCATGTATAAAATCTCTGTTCCTTTTTCCATAACAGTTTGATGGAATTCATCTGGGAAGCTCTCTGTGCCTGGAGTTTTCGTTGGGGGAAGGATTTTTAAATAGACTGCAATTTGAATGTCCACTTTGTATGCTTTGATACTGTGACTTGAGCAACTATCTCTAAGATGATAATGTGTAATCTATTAACTGGTGATTTCTTACTGTTTTTTTTTTTTTTTTTTTTGTAGTTCTGTATTACTTGTACCCTTACACCGCTTTGTTTTGTTTTGTTTTTTTCTCTTTTTCCTTTTAAATAAAATTTTAAAAAAAGAAATGTACTCAAGGACATATTATAGAATAAATATTGAAATAATATGTTGAATATATGAAAAAAAAACAAATCTGGGGCATCTTAAATATTCTCATGTCTCACGTCGATTCAGTCCTTTCTCAGTCTTTGGCCACCTCCAACACCACTGCCCAAGCCAGGCCCCGGGATCTCCACAGCGGCAGGCCCTCGGCCCCTGCTGGCTGCCCACGGCACCTGCTTCCTGTCTAGCTTGTCCTGCGTGGGATGGGCTCACACACTCTGCTTCATCTCACCAGTGACCTTTTCCTCATCAGTCTCTGGTCTACCTGCCACTGCTCCACTCAATCTTTTCTTTCTCTGCAGTGCTGGTGATTGAGCCCAGGACCTCTGCGCATTGCTACATCCCTCAACCACTCTCCACCCCCTGGCTTTTTTGTTGTTGTTGTAATTTTTGTATGCTGAGACAGGGGCTCAATAAATTGCCCAGGCTGAGCTTAAACTTATGATCTGCTTCAGCTTCCAGCGTGCCGGGATCTCAGTCATGCACCCCCACAGCTGGCTTCCTCTCTGAATCTCAGGTCACAGTGACTTATCGGAGCTGCCTATGGTCTGTACGCATGCATGCTGTCTGCTAAGCTGCTGCACATCTTTCTTTGTTCCTGCTGTTCCCTCTGTCAGAATTCTCCTCTCCATTTTTCCCCTCTACAGTGGTCCTCAGCCTTCAAAATTTAGCACTGAGCACAGTAGATCCGAAACTGCACTCTTATTTCCTTTTTTTTTTTTTTTTTTTGAGGTGTTGGTTGAGACAGGTTCTCACTATACAGTTCAGGCTAGTCTTGAACTCACTGTATAACCCAGGCTGCCTCGAATGCACAGTGATTCTCCTGCTTCAGCCTCCCAAGTGCTGTGATTGCAGGTGTGCACCACTATGACAGGCTGGCCTGCTCCTTCTTTCTCTCTGATTCCCTCCTCCCTCTCATCCTTCAAGAGGCAGCTCGGGCATCCACTCTATCAGGAGGCAAGCTTTTCTGCATGGCCCAGAGCACTGTGCTTACATCTGCCTCCTAGCAGGCTCCTGTTATATGGATGTAACCCATGGTGGACCCCCCCAGCAGAAGAAAACCTTTATGGGCAGACAGACCATTCTGTCCCTGGAGGAATTCAGTGGAGTTCAGCAGCCACAGTTCCTTGGCCAGGCCCAGCATGCACAGGTGAGGAGCAGGTACCTGGGATTCTGTCGTAGTCTCGAAGTTGCCGTTCCACATAGTCCCACTTCAGGACAGTGCAGGCGCTAGCGCCTGGCTGAGCCAGAGCCAAGTAGAGGTCACTAGAGTAAAGGAAGGGTTCAGCCGACACCGCTGGGAAGGCCAGAGTCTGGTAGAGCACAAAATCTGCAGGGAGAGAAGTGTGGGTAGACGGGACTCAGCCCCAAGGGAGCAGGATGGGTGGCTCGACTCAGGACTCAGGGGGCCAGGTGGGGAGTGGGTGGGGTGGTCACAGGGCACAGGGCACAGGGCACAGCCTACCCGTGGTGATGCAGTCGAACTCCCGCAGCGGCAGGTCCTGCACCTTGTGCTCCTGGAAGCGGGGCGGGCTGGCGCAGTAGATGGGGGCCACAGTGGTGTTGGTGTGTGTCAGCCACTCCACCAGCCACTTTACCTTGCAGTCGCAGTTGAGCGCGTTGCCTCGAAGGTCTCTGGAGGGTGAGGGCAGGCAGAAGACACGGAGGGGCAGGCTCCCTGCTGCTCTGCCCACCACCCTCTACCCTTTCCAAGCTGCTTATTGTAGCTTTGCAACAAGTGCAGAGAGGTTCCTGGGGGCAGGTACAGCCACACACACCCTCTTAGCCAGAGAAGCAAGGCTGAGTCGTAGCCTTGGATGGGTGCCTTTGGAGCTGAGGATTAAACCCAGGGCTTCCTCACCCAACTACAGCCCCAGTCCTTTTGCATTTTTTTTTTTAAATTTTGAAATAGTGTCTTGCTAAGTTGCACAGGCCAGGCTCAAACTTGTAGTCCTCCTGCCTCAGCTTTCCAAAATATTGAGAATTGGTAATATAGACATGTGCTACCACATTGGCTTGCCAGGTGCCTTTTGCAGTAGACAAACTACACAGTTATCTGTCACATTCCTGTCCCTCTAAGCTTCCCACAATGCAGAGCTTTTATGTTCCTGTATCAATAATAAATAACTCTGGCTATGTGATAGGTGGGATTTTTTTTTTTTTTATCGGTACCAGGGACCGAACTTACAACTGCCTGCTTGCAAGGCAGGTGCTTATGCCACTGAGCTAAATCCCCAGCCCTATGTGATAGGACTTTAATATAGACTCAAATCAAACACACATTTTTGGAAACATGCAGCTCCTCATGTGCATTTCAAGAGGTCCACAAGAACCCCAGGGTGACTTGAGGAACCCCAAGGAAGGCTATCGTCTGTAGCTCACTGGACATCTCAGAGCCCCTAAACCCAAATCCCCCAGTTTTTCAAGACTACATGGTCATCCCGCTTTTGGCTCCCCACACTGCTCCCTCCAGGGGCAGGACTCAGGCCTTACAAGTCACTCAGGATGTCCAGGGGCCGAAAGATGTCTCTGGGAAGTGTCTGCAGGTTATTGTTGGCCAGTGAGCTGCAAGAGAGACCCCCGGGGTATTCTGAAGATCATGACCAAAGCCACAGGCCAGAGGAAGTGTGGGCTTTGGGCATGGTGTGTGCATGTGTGTGAGGTACTCACAGATGTGTCAAGGACTTGAGTCCCCTAAAGGTGAACTTGGATAGAGCCCAGATGTCATTGTTTTCAATGAAGCTGGAGAAAACGAGAGCCTGCCTCAGTGGCCATTCGCGATCCCAGACCCCCAGGCAGCTGCTTTCTGTACCCCAGCCCAAATCTCAGCCCGAGATCTGCTTCCACTGATGCCAGACCTACCAGGACAGGCCATCAGGTGGGGATGGTGTAGGCAGGGATGTGGATAAAATGACCCTCTGCCCACAGCGGGCAGTCAGGGCATGGAGGGCACTCTCAGTCTTTCCTCCCCCAGCCTTCTCTACTGCTGCCCTCTTAGCCCACCCGGGCCTGCCTCCCTGCTGTCTACTGCCCAGTGCCCTTTCCCTCCAACACACAGGTACTGCAGGTGGGACAGTCCTGTAAAGGCGTTGTCTCCAATCAGCGTGAACTTGTTGGAGTTGAGCAACCTGGGGAGATAAAGATGGAATTAGGGCTCCCAAGGGTGTGCATGCAGCCTTAGTCTGTGCCTCTCAGGTGTGTTTCCCCATGATCCAGGTGCCCTCCCTATACCCCTTGGGACCTCAGTAGAGTGCCCCAGGTTGACAGGACAAAAGGGAGCCTGTTCCAGAAGCTCCCAGGGCCCCTGGTTGCTCCTAAAAATGGTTTCGGGCAGAGTTCTCCTGCCAGCTGGCCCTGGCCCCCATGGTGTCCTCTGCCTGTCTTCGTGTTCTCACCTCAGACCACTCCAGCCCTGCACGGACAGCTGTCCTGCCATCCCTCCATTTAGCTCTTTCCCCAAAAGACCCCTGGGGGTCACCTGTCTCTAAGATGACCTCCAAGTGTTTGCCCTCTGGCTCTGGCCCAAGCTCTTACACCCAATTCCCCTGGGTCTCTTGAGGAGTCAGGTTCTCGCCCCAAGCCCACTTGCTTGGCCTCTGCATGCAGCCCCCAGCCCTTTTTTCTCGTCACCTGCTATCATGCCTCTCGCCGCCAGGTTGCCTGACCTGTGGCAGAATCTACTGGAGCCAAAGGGACACTGACATCATCATTTACAAACGCTGCCCCACCCACTCCCTTGTCAGAGCCCAGCATCTATCCCCTTCTCCTGAGCTGCCCCCCTCCTCCCTAGCCCTTCTAGGCTTGATCCATACAAGAACTGCAGCAGTGGCAGGTGGGAGAAGGCTCCATCCTGGATCTCTGAGAAGGCAGCATTCACCAGGGTCCTGCAAGGGACAGCAGAGTCACATTGTGGGAGAGTCTACAGGGCTTGTGCTGGGCAGAGAGATGCATAGGGCAGTGATCTCTGTACCAGCTGTGTCCTCCACTTGCATCTGTCCCTCCCTCTTTCTCCCAAACTCACCGGTCTCCTCTACCTTTCTCCTCCCCCACTGCCTCTGGAGCACTGTGGCCCCAGGCTCACCTTCACTCTCAGCCAAGAAAAAGTTACATTACCTGAGCCATTGTTATTATCCAGATACCCACAAGGTGCTGGCACTGTTGAGGGATGGGGGTACTGGATCGGGGAGGGTGCTGGTATCCTGCTCTCAAGGCCCACAAGCCCAGGGGTCCCTGGGGCCAGTTGCTGCAAGTGAAGCTGCCCCAGCTGGGCATGGAGCACTGGCCCTGCAGCAGGCACCTGGTCCCTGGGCACTGAGCAGGGACCCTCCTCCTGCTGCCCTTCCTCCACCCCGCTGTTGCCCTTGGTGCAGCATCACAGGCAGTGGCTCCGCGTGCTCATGCCACCCCTTCACTGGGCCTGGGCCCTGCACACAGCGGGTCTCACCGATGTTACTGCTGGGGATGATTCACTCTTGGTCACAGTCCCCATTCTCCCTGGCCATGGCTGCTGAGCCTGCCTGACTGCAGAGCTCCCTGCAGCTCCAGTCCTGAGGAAGGCAGGAGTCCTGTTCCCCACGTTCTGGAGGGGGCGCAGGGATTCTCCCACTCACTCCCAAAGGGGTTCTCACGCTCCCTATCCCTCCCCCGCGAGGCAGACACTCACAGGGAGATGACCTCAGAGGGCAGGTTCCTGGGCACCGCCTTGGAGTCCACGCAGAAGGCGGTGTCCCTGGTGCAGGAGCAGCTGGGCGGGCAGGGAGGCGTCTTGGGGGGCCTCTTGGCACTGACTTGGAGAATCAGGCAGAAACCCAGCATGGACAGCGCCAACAGCCCGGGCCCGAGGCCCCGCCTTACCCCCAGCCCCACCATGCCGTTGCAGGTTATTTTTCCAGCCGCCCGCAGGCCCGCGCCCCGCCGCTCCTTGCAGGCTGTGCCACCCCACGCACGATGCCACCTCTGAGCTGCCGCAGCGCAGGGCCGCTTGCCCACTGGGTGCAGCGGACGCTTCCTGCCTTTGGGCTCTGGCTGCGTCACCTCCCCTGCTCGTTCCGAGAGCCCGCTTGGCTCGGGAGTGCTGCGCGAAACCCTGAGCCGCAACCGAGGGCCACTGGGCGGGGTGGACGCAGACTGCGGCGCGGGTGAATGGGCGGGCTGGGGCCTGCGCGGGGGTGGGGCGGGGGACAGCGCCCCTGTCGCCATCTATCCGTCCCGGGGCGCGGAGGGCCCAGTGTACGGTGTGCGTGCAAGCGCACCTGCACGTTGGGACGACTTGCGCGTGAGCACACCTGTCCGTGCGCGGCCACACGGATCCTGTGTCTCTCTGCACCTGTGCACGCCTGCTGGCTGCGAGGGGACAGGTCAAATGACACAGGTATATCTAGGTGGAGAGCGAGATTGGAAACTCAAGGGTGCTTCTTTCTGTCCCCGTGTGTTTCCGCGGCCACCAAACAGAATGTGCCTTTGTGTCTGAGAGCTGAAAAGGGACATGCACTAGAACGTAGGACTGTGGACCAGTCTCGCTGTGCAGTCGCAGCCTGTTGGAGCTAGGAAGCGCCCTGGATGTGTTCCAGTCGCGCCCTTTGTTCAGCAGCCAGGGAAACTGAGGCCTAGAAATGGAGAAAACAGGAACGCTTACTATGTGCACGGTGAGCTGTAACCGGTAGAGCTCCTTCCTCGCCAGGAGAAATAATCTTAACTCCCTTTTACAGATAAGCAAAGTGCTGCCCGAGGACCAGAAGCCCAACTTGAAGTTCAGAGCGCAGGGGTCCTTGAGATCCTTGCGCAGAGCCTTCAAGGTCAAAGCACTTTTTCTTTTCTTTTTCAAAGCACTTTTTCTAACATGAGGACATTATTTGCCTGTTCACTTTCTTTCTTTTCTTTTCTTTTTTTTTTTGTCTTTTTTATCGGTACCAGGGATCAAACTCACGACCACACACTTGCAAGCAGGCGCTTATGCTGCTGAGCTAAACCCCTCAGCCCCATTGCCTATTCACTTTCATGCTCTCACAAAAGTATCCTGGAATTTTCCCAGAGACTACACGGTGGATCATTTATTAAGCCTGAAGGTACAAGAGATTTGCAACAACTGTAAAACAGTGGTACTTTTCCCCTAACTTCTTGGCGGAGAAATAGAGCTATTTTCAACTGTTTGCTTGAGAAAGGGTCTTGCTACGTAGCCCAGGATGTTCTTGAGCACCCGTGTTCATGGTAGCCCCGAGAGTGCTGGGAGTACAGCCCCATAACACTATGCTGGCTATTTTTATTTTAAGATGTATGCGATTTACATTATAACATATAATAGAAATATATATTCCTATATATATTCATATATATGTATATATGGGCTTGAACCCAGAACCTTGGAACTGAGCTGCTATATAATGAGCCCTCCCCCATTTTCTTTTTTTTTTTTTCCTTTGGACAAAATGTCTTGGTAAGTTGCTAAATTTCTCCGGGCTGGTCTAGAACTTTGAATTCTCCTGCCTCAGCCTCTCCAAATGCTAAGATTACAGGTGTGCACTACCATACCTATATAAATACATATTTTAAAATGTCTCAGTGAATGGCAATCTGGTAGATATCAATAGACTAGCTTTCAGAAACAAAAGTTATCTGGGGATTCAGAACTTCTTAGGAGTATTAAGAGATCCCAAGAACAAGTGGTTTAAGAATTGCTACTCTATATCTTGCCATTTCTGGGGGTGGGTGACAGGAAGGACTGTCTCAAGAGAGACGGGCACAGGACAAAGGGAGCCTGGGACTCAGTACTGGGCTTTTCTAGTCGTGTGCTTTGTCCACACTGGTTCTACTATGCCCTTACCAGTTCAGGAAACAGGGACTGCTGGGCTTAAGCTGCGTCCCTATAACAGGCTTCCCAGCCTCTGGTAGCAAGGAGTCTCTGCTCTGAGCTTAAGTCCAGTTTTCCCAGCCAGGGATGCCCCTGTTGATTGATGTCCACTTGCCACTGCCCATCCAGCTCCTGTGCTGCCAGCTCAAGGGAAGGGGAGCAGCGGGGGTGGGGAGAGTAGCCCAAGGAGGGCAGCTGGGCAATCGTCCCCACCCGTCCCTGGCACAGCTCTGCCTGGCACACAAAGAGAGAGTGAATCTCATCCCAAGCCGTGCAGCCGAGGAGGGGGAAAAGGAGACACAGGAGGGGTGGCCATGGCTGGGCTCTCCATGACCCACAGTTCTCAAAGAGGGTAACTGGAAGAGAGGTGGAAAGGGGGTCCCCTCTTAGCTAGAGAGAGGAGCCCTGGGGGTTGGAGTAAGAGCTGATAATGATGAGGACTGGATTTTTGCATGGATATCACTGGAACCTCACATCAGCCTCGTGGGCTGGGTGAAACAGACAGCAGTTGTTCCATGTCACAGATGAACATACTAAAGCACAGAAAAGCAGAATGACTCACTCTGGGGCCCAGAGCCACCGGTGGAAGCACTGAGACCTCCACATAGCGCCCAGCAGGAGCCCACGCCTGTTCAGCGTCAGTCTTGTCGCTGAATATAATTATGCGTGGGCCGTGTGTGTGCTCCTTGCCCTGTGACAGGCTGGTGGAAGCACCAGGAGACGCACTCCTTTCCCACCCACGATAGAGCCTGCTTGAGAAGCTGGGCAGCCAAAGGCCTCCCAGAGCTGACCATCAGTGCGCACTAGATGGAGTGTGAGTGTGCAGCAGGGAGCAGAGAGGAGGCGGAAGGGTGGTGAGGTCATGGAGCAGGTGCCATGGCTCTTGGCTTTTTAGTGTGGGTGGTATTCAGAAAGAAATGACATGAGAAAGGCCCAGAAGTGACAAGAAGGCTGCAGCAGAGGGCGGGGCTGAGGGAGAGGTGGAGGGCTATGCATGACCAACCACTGGGCTCTCCTCCTCCTCCATCCTCCTCTAAGGAGCCCAAGGTTTCTGCCAGGTGGTGCCAGCAGTTGAACCTCATTTAAGAAACTTACTGGTACCCCTCCCCAGCCCCCAAGCACAGCAAGTTTTAAAAAAAAAGCAGCAGTGGCAACCATAAAGCCTTGAGAGCTGCAGCATGCTGGGGAGACTGAGGACCACACAGAGAGAACTGCTTTCCTGCACCCAGTCACAGTGGCAGTCCCAACTCAGACACCTGTTCAGTGCAAGCCCCACAGCTGGACACTGCGGCCCCCAGAGATGCCCATGGGGACCCCACAATGCCTGTGGTTCTTGGCTCTCCTGCTGGCCAACTGCCCACCTGGCTCAGGCCCAGTTCTGTGAGTCAGCCATCAATCCCAAGGTTGCCAGGACAATGGGGGGGGGTAAGGGGGGCGGGAGCTAGGGGCAGGCAGGGGACAGTGTGGGCGGGCAGGCTGTCTTCTACATCTGGCACCTGCACACAGCTGAGGCTGAGCTGAAAGGCGGATGCTTGCTCCCCTCCCCCTCCTGCCTGCACCCCTCCCCTTCTTCCACTCATCCTGGGACACTCTTTCCCCTGCTGGAGGCTTCGCAAATATTTAAAGGAGCAGTTAGGGGGGCCAAAGAGGGTGGTGGGAGCAAACATTGCCTTCCTTCCTCCAGCTTCTTAGGGGCTCTCAGCTCAGAGGCCAGACTGTTGTACAATCTTGAGGTTGAGGACCTCCAGCTGGAGAGGGTCTTGATGGAACAGGGGAGCCAGCCAGAGCTGGAGCATGGTGCGGAGGCTGGTTCATGATCAAAGGGCAGGGACAAGGTGTGAGGAGCCTGGGGCTGAGGGCAGGAATTGGGGTGACATTTTAGAGTTAAAGTACAGCTGGCTTTCTGTATCCATGGGTTTTGCATCTGCCAATTCAGCCAAAAATACATGGAAAGTATTTGGGGGAAAAAATTGCGTCTGCGCTGAACATGTACAAACTTTTTTCCCTTGTCATGGATTCCCCGCATAAGACAGTGTAATGACTATTTACCTATCATTTGCATTGTGTTAGGTACTATAAATCACCCAGAGATGACTGAAAGCATAGACACAGATGTGTGCAGATTGTATGTAGATACTCCCTGCTCTTTTATATGAGGGAGTGGGGCATTTTGTATCCAGTAGGGAAGGTGGTGGCTGGAACCAGTCCCTGGGGATAAAAAAGGATGGCTGCCTCCAAGGACAAGGGAATCCAGCCAAGAGAGGAAGGTGGGAGCAGCTCTAGCTCACACGCCCATGAATGTTCAAAGGAGATGGGGCTTTACAGACTACCTGGCTCAGCTAGTGACAAGGAGCCCCAGAGAAAGGGCACAGCCAAACCACATATTTGACTTAGAGCACAGAGAGCTGGTCTTGGTGAAAGAGGTGAGGCAGAAAGAGAGAGGACAGTGAGGACCTGAGAGTTTGAAGAAGTACAGAAGGGAAGAGTGACAGAAAGGCACGGAGTGAGTATGATGACTTCAGGACAGAAAGAATGGGGCCATACCAGCCCTGTGCCAGGCTGTCCCAGCCTAAGAAAGCAGTGTCAGGAATCTGCCATCAGAAGCCTTGGGTGTACAGACAAGCCCAGAGCAAAGAATGAAACACCGTCCACCTCTGAGTAAGAGTTTCCCCCCAGCAGGGACAGAGTTTCCAGAATTTGGAAAAGAGCTACAGAGAGGGTATCTGAGGTTAGGTTGGGGGTGTGTTGGGAGAGGTGAGGCAAGGTAAAGAGGAATCCGACCTTCCCATTACAGATCCCTTCCAAGTGATGTCAGTGTCCCTCTGCCTTCAGCTGAGCCTTCTCTGCCTTGTCCTGGAGCTCAACCCTAGGCTTGGGGACATTCTGTGGGGAACGGTTGGTCAGACCCTTGGCTGCCTGAGAGGTTTTGCCTGGCAGAAGAAGAAGGAAGCCACAGAGCTGCAGGGCAGGTGCCAATAAGAAAGGCAGGCATGCCAGGAAGACACCCACAGTGAGGGCTGCAGGTGACCTTAGGGCTAGTTTGCTCAGCTCATCCAGTTTTGCTCTTGTTGGGGCCAAGAGGACTCATGTGCTAGGCCAAGGGCCCTTGGGGGCTCTAGCAGCTGGCTTATCAGGGCCCTTGGCCTGAAGAGCCAGGAACAAACAGGCTTCAAAGCTAAGAAGGGCTTGGTTGGCACACAGGAGACCTGGTCCTTCACCTCTGCCCCCTCCCTGCGGACACATATAAGATCCTGGTCACACCTGTAGGATGTAGAAAGGAGTGATCCTACAAGATGGACATGGGCAGCAAAGAGGTCTTGATGGAGAGTCCACCGGTGAGTGTGGGCGTGTGT